AATTTAAAAAATGCATTTCTTAAAAAAAATATTTAATTTAAAAACTTACAACATCCTATATTTGGATATGCTGCAACTCTTCGACCATTATACTATCAACATGTTTTTGAACACGTAATTCTGCACATTCCCAATCCTCTAAGCATATCAAAACCTCCAATATATCTTATTTTAGTCTTGATCATTCATCTGATAAAATTCAACCACCTAAACTGAATGCAGTCTCCAATGCTACCGTAGACACCGGAGGTGTTAGTAGATCACGTGCAATTTTTGATACAATTAGATATTGCCTTTCATTACATCTCCACCAATTTAAAAGACTAAATTCTTGTAATTCGTTCGGTTGCAACACATTACGAACATCCACGCACATATACCTAGCTAACTCAAAAGGAATTTCAAGATTTGTACCACCAATATTGATCGCTCTAGATATTGATGAGCTAGAACTAGAATTAAATGAAGGAACACTTGTATTGCTATCTAAATAATTTCATAAATTTTCTGAATTTGTTGAAATATTTCTTGAAAAAGAACTTTGGGAAGTAGAACTACGCTGACCTTCCTTTTCAACATAATAATTATAGATTTCACATAAAAAAGATTCTATATGCACGTGTGATAATCCTATATTCAAAAAATCTGATATCCCCTTTACAGTAGTTTTTGTGCCAGTTAAATTAAGTCGAGGGTCCATTACTAAAGTTAAAAGAAATAAAGAAGGCAACTCTTCCCAATATTTACAAAATTTTAACTCTATAGAGCGGACTACATCAGCAAAAAGTGACAAATTCCTATATTTATGAAATGCTTGTGAAATGTAGAAAAAATGTTGTAAAACAAGAGAAGATGTAGGGTTATAAACACCGCTACATTCCTTTGTAGCAGCGAAAAAAGATTGTAAGAATTTTTTCACGTAAAATGCAATAGTCCGTTCCCAATCTTCCAAATTATGTTCGGGTCCGAGTGTATGCCTACCATTATAATATAGTGAAATCACTTTATCGTAATTTTCACATGAATGTACATAAGATATGTAGAGTTTCACCTATGTGTTACATCAGTGGCAAATGATTTCTCCTATAATCCATACTCTGCACATAAACTATTAAATGTTTGTTTTCTTGTTGGTGAAATAGTAATAAAATTTATTACTTGTCTAATTTTATATAAAGGTGAACTTATATGTTCTAATCCAACTTTTACAATCAAATTAATAATATGACATACACAACGTTGATGAAAAAATAAATTTCCAAATACGGGGTTAAGATTAGCAATAAATCTTTTAATAACAACTTTGTTCACTGCAGCATTATCAAAAGTAAAATTTCGAACCATATCTTATATACCATATTCCTGTATGATATCTTTTAAAATCATGTATATGTTAGTGGCATTATGGAGAAATTCTACACATCTGAATGCAATAATTCTTTTATGTAGTAGCCACAGGTGATCAATATAATGAGCCGTAGCAGCAATATAACATTTTCTTTTACAACCAGTCTATAAATCAGAAGTAAACGATATAACACTATTAAAACTTTTTAGACCTTCGAAAGTAATTTGTTTTCTTCTGTTATATAATTTTATGCTATCCGAACGAAGAGTATTTCTAGAATAAGAAGAATACCCGGGTTGGAGATATTTCTGCACGAGTCGGGTAAAGTGTATTGAGTCTATCATCGTAAGCGGCATCTCTGCTGCAGCCACGTATGTAGCCATTCCTTCACGAAATATTTCCTGTGAATATACAAAGGTGGAAAGAGTGGAATTAGAACCGTCAAACACTAGTTCGGTCTGTTTCGAGTCGAGATCCGCTGGTTTCGCTTTACAACTCCTTAATATGTGTCTATTCAAATGCGTTATGTTCGAGCCAGACTTCCAACTAAGTTCTTTGCCACAGTAATTGCAACATGCTTTCCAAATATCTACTCCATTTTGAACACCAATTTTTTTCGTGTCATATGTTGCGAACAATCCGATGATTCTTTTTTTTGACCTTTTTGTCTCGAGTACTTGAACTACTTCCTCTTCAATATCCTCCAAATTAATTGGAACATTTTCACACGCATCGTAATTAGATGGAGCACTCGAGCTACCGCCAAACTGATTAACTTCATCACTTGTAAAATCCATAATAACTAGTATAATAAAAAATACTGAATATTAGACCGTAGAGTGAAAGAAATTGAATATATTAATTGTTATATGAGAAGTGAGAAAGAAGAAATTGAAACTTGAATGATTGAATCTGAATCTATAATATAGAAATAATGCGAATTAAAATCGATAGCAAAGTGATTTAAAATTTCAAAAATCATCCCGTATTTATAGATAAAAAAAACCCGCGTTATTTTTCAAATTTGAATTTCAAAATCTATACGATTAAAGGTAACACTACGTAAAAAATGCAGCTATAGCTGGCAGCAAGTTACTGCTGCCTGTGTGACCTGCTGCCGTGTAGCAGCTCAATTTTTTTTTAAATTGTTTTTTTCTTTTTTTTGTCCTTTAATTTGCTCGGGCCAAGCATTATTGTCATAGGCCATTTTTGGCCCGTGTGGTTCGGGCTCGGGCCGACCTCTTATTTTGAGGCTCGGTCACTACGAGCCACGAGCCGGGCGGGCTCGGGCTTTTCCCGAGCCGAGCCGCCCGAGCCATCGAGCCTTTTTGACACCCTTATCATAGACACATCGAATGATGTAAATTAATATCGAAAATGGTTAAACGGACATTAAACGTATGTGTCAAAAAATACGTATAAATCATTTTTTCTTCAAAAAAATCAATTACTTTATTACTATTTATTATTTTTTTGTAACAATTTTCTCAATACATCATTTTGCTCAAGTAAAATTATGTGGTATGACGTAATTTTTTTCTCCATACACGAAGTGAATATATATTTTTTTTACATTTTATTTACAATAATTTTGTTTATTAATATAATTTTCAAATTTTAAATATATAAGATATGGTTGATAGTTAGTTAATAGCGTGAGAATTAGGAGAAATAGCATGACGTGTCAGATTCAAAGCAATGGAGAAATATTACAGTGGATAATAGCGTGTGACAAAATTCCTACAGAATTTTTGAATAGCATTTTTCCTGTTGTCAAACCAGTTTCCAAACCAATTAAGTGTGAAAACGAGTGTGACAAAAATGAACAGTAAACCCTCATTCTCTCTTTTATGGTAGTGTAGAAATGACATAATTCTTATTTAAGTTACTAGAAGCCATTTTATTTCATTTATGTCATTGATTGGTGTAGCTAAAAATCAAAATTTTGATAACTTTTAATAATTGATAAAATATGTAATTGAAAAGTTAATAAAAATTTGTAGGCTCCTTGAAATATGTGATTAAAATAATTTTTAACTTTGATTTGAATTTTTATCAAAATTATATCAAACATGAGCTAAATGTGTTTGTTTTAGAAAGATGATCTTCCTTAATAAGAAAAAATGTTTTTGTTTAAAAAAATAGTTCTTCCAAAAAATAATTTTCAAAAAAAAAAAAAAAAAAAAAAAAAAAAAAAGGTTTAAAAAGTTAAACTTGAAAAGCGTAAAAATTGAAATTCTTAGTTTTCAACTTCTATCTAATAAATTTTGTTTGACGAATAAAATATATAACATCTTGTGTGAATAAACGAAAATGATTAATAAGTTATTTTACTAATTTAGTCAAGTGACTCGAAAGGAAGTTACAAAAAAGATGTACGAAAAAGAGGAGAATGAGAAATTAAGGTTGTGATTGGTTTGGTGTTTTTGGGCCATTTCCGGTTTTCTATTTTCAAAAACGCGAAAAACGCGTTGGGTCCGTCGTTTTCGAAAATGCATTTTTGAAAATGAGTTAAAATTTATAACTGAAAATGCAAAACGACTTTTTATCTTTTTGAGCGTTTTTTTAGTTATAAATTCCCAAAACGCGGAAAACACGTCGTTTTCAGGGAAAACTAAAAATCGTTTTGAAACCGAAAATGGAAAATGGGAAACTAAACCAATCAAACCCTAACTTTTTATTTTGTCCATATATGTTGGTTAATTTCATTTATGGTTATTAAACTTCAATGAGGTTGCACAACTTTAATTTGCCTGGTTGAAAATACTCTCTCTCTTTTATTTTTATTTTTTTGGTTGCTTTCAGAATATTTTATTTTGTAGATGTGTTGTTGAAAATGAATATATGAAAAAAAGTTTTGAAATAATAGTTGTCAAATAGGGGCTGAATTTTCTATTTATTTTCAATATTAATGATTCCATTAGCCATCGTCACGTAAAATTATCCCCTTTTTAATGGGAATTAAAATTAAATTTTATAGTAAATTTTGATAAAAATTGACGATGTGCGATTGGAAAATTGTAAATTTCATGAAATATATAATTAAAATCTATTTTTGGCATCGACTTGATTAAATATAATCCATATCAAATACGGGGTTGACGTCCGAATCCTTTAATAACCCACTCAGTATCGTCGTGACGACAAAACCTTAAACTTAAATGTGAATATTATTTTAACTATATTTTTAAACACGGTTATTTTCAAAATTTACACGACATGATTGACATATTTAATGAAAAAGTGAGCACACTTCATATTGCTTAACATTCACGTAGAATTGTGTCCTTAAGTTAGCATCTTGAGTTAATCGAGTGTCTAATATTGATCTCAGGACAGATTAATCTTTAATAAAATTTAAATATATTTTTCTTTCTCTTTTTTTCAACACATTTTTTAATAAAATAATATTATACATAAATCGAAATTTTTTTTAACCATATATTCTTCAAAAAATAATTATTTCAAAATATATTTTTCTTCAAAATTTAATTTTAATGGTGCTGAACAAGAAATAAAGTAGAGTGATTTTTTTTTTAATTTAGTGATAAAATAATTTTTTTTCAGAAAAATGTGTCATTTGTTATCCTTTACTAAAAGTAAAAGAATTAAAAACATATAAACCGTAAATTTACAATGTTGTCAATTTAAGGCAAACGCAAATGTCATATTGTACACGGCCCAAGTACTTTACAAGGAAAGGTGGAGTTGAAGGAGAAGGGAGAGCATCTTGGTGTTTTTTTTACGGGGGATCTAACGACGGCAAAACCATTTTTGTGTAAAATGGGAGACGAATCTGAAAAGAGGTTTCAAGCAGTAATGGATAAGCTGTTTCAAGCTACCCCCAATCCCAAACCTAATACTGGCGACACCAGGTACAGGTCTTTATGTATTCTCTTTTATTTGTAAGGATTTTTTGCGTCTATTTTTTTATAAAAAAAAATAAAATCTGATTATTTGATAATCATGCGCCATTTCACTTAGTTATTAAACCTAAATTGTTTTTAGGTATGATTTTGTGTATGGCAGTATTTTTCCTATCTGGAATTTGAAATTTCACAATATTATGGTTTCCGTTATTCTGGTTTTGCCATTAAAGAGCTAGAAGATTGGATTTTCTTAATTCTCTTCTTTTTGGATTGTTTCAGAACCATCTATTTTATTATTGGAAACTACATATTTTTAATTTCTCTTTATCCATTTATTTCCTTGTTGGTATGCGATTTAATTATTTTTATTGGTGTTCAATATTTTTAATGAAAAGATTTCTGCATTGTTTATTTGTTTCTGTTGATGATTCATCCAGTAACTATGGAGTTCAATCAATGAGAGGCAAGAAACGCATGAATTCATCATCTCCATTCACGTTAACCGAAATGAAATTGAAAGGCAATGTGGGTGAGGAATTGCAAAACTCAGCTTCTGGTTCAGCTGAAACAGCTCAAGCTCCACGGTGCAGGCCATGGGATCGGGGTGATTTGTTAAGGAGGTTGGCTACTTTCAAGTCCATGACGTGGTTCGCCAGGCCACAGGTTTGATTTCATAATTGCAGTATCTTTTTCTGACTGGAAACAATAATTTAATTGAATGATAATTGGATCATTACAGGAAAGTCATAGTCTTAATTATTGAACTATTGCTTGCTGTTTTTTGGTTTCCTGCTTTTCCCCCTGAAAATGACGTCATAGTCCTTTGTCTTTAAAATAAATTAATCCATCTTTAGGTGGTGAGTCCTGTGAATTGTGCTCGGAGGGGTTGGATTAATGTTGATATTGACACCATTGCCTGTGAATCATGTGGGGCACGTCTCCTTTTTTCCACTCCTTCAGCTTGGGCTCAGCAACAAGGCAAGTCATGATTTCCTTCCAATTTGTTGCTATTTAAGAGTGAATTTAAAATTAATCTTCTCCATGTTCTTTGATGGGAGAAAAATATGTTATGTTATCAAAGTAATGCTATGTACTGTAACAACTAAATGTTATCTTATTTAATTTTTGTATTGTGTGCTATTAGTTGAAAAAGCAGCTATGGTATTTAGCTTGAAGCTGGAAACTGGGCATAAACTACTTTGCCCATGGCTTAACAATTCATGCAGCGAAGAACTTGCACAGTTTCCACCTACACCAAGGGCTGTTTTGATTGAGGATTACAAGAAACGCTGTTCTTCTTTATTTCAGCTTTCAGCTCTTCCAGTGATTTCGCCTGTAGCAGTTGATAATATGAGAAGCCCTCAACTGGAGATATTCTTAAGAGAATTTTCGTCTGATGAGTGTAATGTATCTGCTGAGACTTCTGGGACAGAACACCTCGGAAACAAACCTGACTCAGTTTCTTGCATCTTATATTATCAGGTTTGACAGTACAATGCTAGCAAATTCTAAAAGTTCTGACCTGATAACAAAAGTTTTCTTAGTAAATGACTGCTTAACTTAAAATCTCAACTCTTGACACTGTATTGTTTTCAGTCCATAAAATATGACTGTATCTGTCATCCACTAATAGAAGAAATGCTCAACCAACGTGGCTTGTCTGTATGATATAATATACATCCTGCTTTTATTTTCCAATTCTTTGAGTAATTTGCACTTAACTTTTCAAGTTGTAACACTGAGCCTATGATTAGCTCATCTTTATAAACTGTTTATTAACACTCAAGCCACCTTTTATCTACACATTTTGAAGGACCTACAAGTACTACCACCTTATCCACAACTCATTATAATTTAAACCATTTATAACCACTTTTCAAATATGTTTCTATATTGAGCCTTTATTTTTTCTTCTTGAACAAGATGGCTCCATATAATATCCATTTTATAACATTTTCAGTGCAGTGTGGTAATATTTGGAAAACGTGCAGGCACAGAAGCTTATAAGTTTATGTGGCTGGGAACCTCATGTATTACCTTATATAGTTGACTGCAAGGGCGGACAAAATCAATCCATCAAAGATGCCAATTTTGCTGCTTTTAACAGACAAAATCAAAGAATTAGTGTTTATTCTTTGTGTCCTGATGGTAATGTGAAGGCAAATGAGGACAGCGAGGCTTCTGGTAACTTGCAGCTTGATCCTAATTCTGTTGTTCTGGATTGCAAGCTGTGCGGAGCTAGTGTTGGATTGTGGGCTTTCTCTACAGCCCCACGCCCTGTAGAATATTTAAAATTAGTAGGATTTACCGAAGTTATTGGGAGAAATCACTCTGCCCATGAGGAGAGCAGTGAACCTGGAAGTTCTTTGGGCAGTGAGATTAATGCTGAAAGTAGTGAGGGTGTAGTAAATGCTGTTACAACTGTCTCCACATCACTAAATCAAAGATCGTCAAACTTTAGTTTCACAATTGCTGGTGGCCCTCCACCAACGAAGCAGAATTATAGAGCAATGATATCTTTGCCTGTCATTGGACAGAGTTTGAGGGCAAGAATTTCAGCTGAGTCTGTGCATGAAGATCGTGTAATTGATAAGAGTTTGTTGCAACCAGGAGCAAACCAAGATATGTCGCCAGTGGACAAAAATATCGACAAGGAAACTTCTTTAACAAGTAAATCAGATTTGATCACAGAAAACTCAGTAGTAGTACCTCAAACAGTTGCAGAAGTTGCTGTTGTAGATGAAAACTTGCCCAATAATGGAACCGTCAGTGATTCTGCAGTTGGTGATGATAGGCCTCATGTAGGAGAATTTTCTTGCTCTACCCCAGAGGATAATGTTGCAAGTAGAAATGGTGAAGCTGGTGAGACTAATTTAGAAATTCTGGCTGAAGACAGGGGACTAGTGCCAATCGTGCTGCCTGTAAAACATAAAAGTGCATCCTGTGGCATAAGTAAGTTCATTTCTATTTACATGTATTTTCAACCTTGATTCTGGGTATGAATTGAGTTTCATTTTACCTTTGATTCCATTAATGGGCTTCTATTGTTGTCTTCCCTTCTTGGATATTCTTTTCTTTTCCAGCGTATTACTTCATATTTTTTTCAACTAATTCTACTGTCTTGCTTAACATAATGAAAACAAACTGATGCTGTTTTGTTGATCTCATTTATTGCTGAACTCTTTTTCCGTAAATGAAGCAATTAAGCAACTGAATTTCATGAAGATGTTAGAGTCTGTGTTATCTTTGATCTGTTTAGTTGGATCCTTCACCTTTTCAAGTATAGATAAGCTAGTCATACATCTAATCTCTGGTTATCTTTATACCAAGCTTGCTTGCTTTTGATTATGAAGATTTGTGAGATTTCTTGTGATGTCCTCTAGGTGAATATCAAGAACTGCCATCATTTGACAAAGCAATGGAGTTCAATCCAATCAAGCAGCACAGGCATTTTTGCCCCTGGATTATGTCAAGTGAAAATTCTGTTCCTGGATGGCTGCAAACACTCTCTGCTTTACAAGGTCACTCCTTGTGCAACAGTGCAACTTTGTCTTCCTTGATTCAGGTAAAATGAAAATTTTACATCTTGGTTTCTTAGACTAGTACCATTTTTGGAGAAAATGGAGAAATATAGAGGAGCTCATGTTTAAAATTACTTAAGAAATGAATGCAAGAATTAAAGGTTCCATCCAAGCTGCAGTCTCTAGAGCAAACCTTAATCCTTTACACTGCTCTGGGATAGACTGTTAAGTTCAAACGGTTAATTAGTTATATTATAATATAAACCTAGAAAAACAATTACCGGAAATTTTCGTCACTATAAAATTGTAGTATGGAAAATATCTGCTACTTAAATTTTGTAATTTTTTATGATAATCTCTTTCAATTATTATCAAATGCAATAGGGTGCTAGTTGACTTCCACGTTAAAGGTTAATTGCTATCTAGTTCCTACATCTATATTAAGTGGCCCAACTTTTATGAAGTAATACCAACTTTACACGGATTCAAGAGATTGCTAATAAGTTCATGTTCTGAGGTGCATTGTCTATTGACATTGTTTGTGGGTTTTATTTTTTTTTTTTTTTTTTTTTTTTTTTTTTTTTTTTTTTTTTTTTTTTTTTTTTTTTTTTTTTTTTTTTTTTTTTTTTGTTTGTTTTTTTTTTTTTTTTTTTTTTTTTACAAGGTGTTCGGGCTTGCGTCCGACTAGATCCTTGTCCCTGAACCTCCGGCCCCTCAGCTGCTCAGGGAGGTAAATCGCAGGATGTGCCCTTGTTGGCTCCCAGGTTCCCACAATTCATTTGGACTCCTTCCGCAAAGAGAGCTTTCTTCACTGGGCGTTTGTTCATACCAATGGCTTCCTTTCCATATGGCTCCCAGTGTTAATTCCAGGAATCGAACTCTCCACCCTTACTTCCAGCGTCCCAGCGAAGTGATTGTTCAACCAACTCGGATGTGCCCCCCAGTTGGTTAGCCATACGGCGGTGAATCAATTCCCAAGCCTTTGAGGAGTTGGAAATAGGCATAGATTTAGAGATTTTTCAAAGATAATCTTTCGAACTACTACTGAATTAGTGGACATATGAGAGAATCTAGCTGGAAAAAAATAAAAAAATGATTTCTTTAAAAGTGGTGAGCAAGGTGTTAGAGCCTAAACCCAACCATTAATATGGTTGTGGGGGAGCAATACTAGCATCATGCAATTAGGCAAAGCAATATCAATGTTGCACCTTATACTGTTAAAAGTCGTTCAATTTGTGCTTTTTATTATTATTAATTCAAGATAATTTGCAGTTTTACCGGTTTCCATTTCCGTAGTCCATTTCATAGACCTCAGCATATCACTAATTGATCCTAAGCAAACCATTGTGTTCAGGGCGGACTTAGACATTTCATATTAGGAGTCACAATCAAATTTTTAAAAAAAGTGACAAATTTTTTTTTATTACTTTATATGGGTTATAAACTGTAATAGTATTTTTTCATCTTTATTATTTTTACATATAAAAAAAAGTTCGATCATTTTTAGGATTTTTTTTATTGTTACTTTTTCCCCTCAATCAATTAATTTTTTTAAATAATGTAATAAATTTCCTAATAAAATTTTTGACATCATTTGAAAAAAAATTAATTAATCTAGAGGAAAATGTAACAATATTAAAAAAATCCAAAAAATGATTGAATTTTTTTTATATATAATTTTTTTTCATATGTAAAAATAATCAAGATGAAAAAGTAGTAAAACAATTTAAAACCCTTTGGAAATAATAAAAATTTTATTAAAAATTTTTATTTCCAAAAAAAAAAAAATTTTTGACGTCATACCACATTTAAATTTTCCTAATAAAATTATGTAAATTATATTGAAAAATTTGTCGCTCAAAAATAATAAACATTAATAAAATAATTGATTTTTTTTTTTCAAAAAAGAGGAGTTATACGTCTCTTTTTAGCATACATATTTGACGTACGTATAACTATTTTCAATAATCATTTAGATAATTTGATATTTTTATAATATAGTTCTCAAAATGAGTTTCGAGAAAATATAGAAGATTTATGGATATGGCTAACGTATAATTGTCGAAAAAATTTTAAAGTTAGCTTGTTATCTAAATTTTCGAAATACTAGTTTAGAATAGCCTATTTTGACGTGTCGTAACATTTGTTACGATTGACCATTTCGCACAACATTAACAAGGTGAAATATTAGGTTGTGAGTACTTTAAAATGATATTAAGAATATAATATTTCAATTTCGCTTGATATTCCATATTGAGCCTGAAAACGAAGACAAAAATTAAAAAAAAAAAAAAAATTGAAAAAAGTAGAGGGTCAAGTGACACTAGGGGACCCCCTTGGGTCCGCCCTTGATTGTGCTACTGTATCTGCATTTGAGAGAACAGTTGGAATGCTTGTTAAAAATTGAATTTCGACAGTCCACTATGGAATTTAATAAAACCCACTTTTCCCACGTACCTTATTGTGACAACTTCTGAATTGAGTCTGGTGCTGTTAATTATCTCATGGTTATCTGTTAGATTTATATATAAATTTCAATTTGAATCTCATCAATTGTTCATTTTTCTATGCTCAAGTGTAGAATTCGAAAAAATAGAACGGTTAAAATTTGTGAAGTTCATATCAAATTGTACAAAATTCAGAAAGGTAGATAGCCATTTTAGAACATATTCAATGACAACGCAAGGCTTTGTCGTTGAAGGTACTACACATTTAGCTACGAAATACAGACACTATGACATTTTGATGGGGAAAGCCGTGAGAGGCACTGCCTTCTGTATTGAAAGCCCAAACTTCTCCCTTATGTCAACTTCTTCGGGTTTCATTCCGTTTTCGAGTTTCCAGTCGAAGCTATGAATCAAAGTTGCTACCATGAGATGCACCATTCTGTGAGCCAAAGGTAATCCTGGACAAATCCTCCTTCCAGAGCCAAACGGAATGAGCTCGAAATCTTGGCCTCTGAAGTCTATTTCACGGTCCAAGAATCGTTCAGGCTCAAATAAGTCCGGATTTAACCAAAGGCTTGAATCTCTACCAGTTGCCCATACGTTAACAAGTATTTGTGCATCTTTAGGGATTGTATAGCCATTGATTTCTGTATCAACTTCTGCCTTGCGGGGTACTAAAAAGGGGGCAGGAGGATGATACCTAAAGGTTTCTTTGACCACTGATTGCAAATATGGGAGTCTTGGGATGTCCGATTCTTCTACTTCTTTGTTTCGTCCAACGATGGTCCAAAGCTCATTTCTAGCTTTAGACATTTTCTCAGGATTGCGTATTAATTCAGTCATTATCCATTCCACAGTGCTCGCAGTAGTGTCTGTTCCTCCAATGAATAAATCCTAGTATTTGCAAGAAATTAGTGATCAATAATGGCTAACCATTCAATAAGAGTTCACTATTCTTTTCCGTAGACCTTTACCATTTTGAAAAACAGAAGAGGTTGACTATAAGTTCTTTTTACTCACCAAAAGTAAATGTTTCAGAACATCAAAGGTTAATTCGGAATCGTTTGTTTGGCTGTAATTCAGGATGGCTTCAAGTAAATCGTTTCTCGCCGGATGATCTGGTGACTCGTTTCTCAACTTCAGCCGTTGATTGATCAAATCATCAAATATTACAAATACTTTGCTAATGTAACTCTTGCATTCGCGCAGAATACCTTGTGGATCAATGAATTTGAGAACTGGGAAGAAGTCTGCAAGATTAGGAACCGCTCCAACTTCCATCAAACCCCGTGCAAGTTCTTTCGTTTCTTGAGAAGAACTGGAATTAAACTGAGCAAAATCAACTGAGAAAAGAGTGGCTGACATGAGATTAAGCGAAGTGATAAACGCGGCACCACCAATATCAACTACTTGATCACTAATGAGAATACCTTGTGGATCAATGAATTTGAGAACTGGGAAGAAGTCTGCAAGATTAGGAACCGCTCCAACTTCCATCAAACCCCGTACAAGTTCTTTCGTTTCTTGAGAAGAACTGGAATTAAACTGAGCAAAATCAACTGAGAAAAGAGTGGCTGACATGAGATTAAGCGAAGTGATAAACGCGGCACCACCAATATCAACTACTTGATCACTAATTCAGCAGTCATGCACATAGTTGCACAGTTTCTTCAATTTTTCTTGCCGAAGACCCTGACTTGCATCAAGCCTATGTGACGAAAACATTTGCTCTTTACAAATTTTACGAAGATTTCGCCACTGGCTACCCACAGGCAACCAGACCAGAGACTTCTTGAAATGATCATATGCTGCTGCTGCGGCTGGACTTGTTCGAGAAGAAAGGACTTGGTCATGTTTTTGTAGTACTTGTTTGGCAATATCTGGTGACGAGACGACGATTGTATTTCTGCTCCCCAGCTTTAGATACATGAGAGGACCATAAATTTTGGAGAGTTTGGTTAGCGATTGGTGGGGATTTTTGCCAAGTTGTAGAATGTTACTGATTATCGGAAAAGGGTAAGGCCCCGGGGGTAACTTGCCTGATCTCCGGAGCCTTAGATTTGATCTCAAGAAATGCCACACTACAAAAGATAATACTACAAGGAAAGATGTTAGAAAATCCATTGATTTTTTCTTTGCTCCTCTTCGTATGAGACTCCTATGAATTTTATAGCTGCAAATTATGTTCCATGTTTTTAGTATTTGTCAAAATCATTGCCGTTTAGTCTCCTGGAAGACATACTTAAGCCAAAAATTTCGTCTGATGCAATTGATTTTTGATTTTTGATTTTGACATGGCTCTTATAACCTGGCGGATTTATCGGGGAAAATTAAAGAACTTTTGAACTATGGTACAAAATTAGATAGTTATATTTAAAGTCAAAGTCACTGTGCTGGTTAACAGATAATATTTATTAAGATAATTAAAAGCTACAATAACTTTATAATTGCCCGATGAAGAAGTATATAACATTATTCAATCAATATATTAAACTTTGTGCAAATAAACGACTACTAGTTAATACTAGACTCCACTCTAGCACTTGGTACGATAATACTAGACCTTAATTAAGGTGGTTACTTTTATAACATGATAAGTGCATTTTATACACTTATTTAAGTTATGAATAATTGTGAGTAAATATATTGAAATAGGGCTTAAAATATTATATAAATGATGAATATGGTAGAATTTAGAAGAACCAAATGAAAAGAACTAAAATGGAAGAAAATCAAAGTTTAGGGACCAAAGTTCAAATAGTCAAAAGATGTTTCGAAAGAAGAAATGAATATGTGAAAGAGTTGAAGACCAATTGAGCAAAGCAATGAAGTATTGGAAAAAGAAGAGGTGAGAAAAGAGATCAAGAAATGAAAAAAATGAAGTTCAGGGACTAAAATGTAAAAATTAGATCTTTGCGTATACTATAGTAACCATACTATAGCATAATACATTTATACATGCGGTCGCATGGTGGGCAACACGAATTTTCAAGGCTGAAGTTTGTTGAACTATGCTATACCATGCGATTGAATTATGTCATAGCATAGTACATTTTTGGAGGAAAATTTCTGGTTTTTTTGC